AACAGATTATACATTCTAATGCACATTCTTTTCAAACGCTCATTGAACACATACAAAATACACTATATATTGGACCATAAACAAATTTAAACGAATTCAAAGAAACTGAAAAAATGGAACAAAGATAAAAAATTAATAACAGAAAGATATTAGGAAAATATCTAAATACTTGGAAACTAAACAACACACTACCAAATAATTTGTGGATCAAACACCTCTCAAGAGAAATCAAAAAGTACATTTAACTGGTTAAAAATGAAAATGTAACATATTAAAATTGGAGAGGCACAGTAAAACAGTGCTAAAAAAATGTATAGCCTAAATGCCTACATTAGAAAAGAGGAAAAGTCTCAAATCAATAATCTAAGCTCCCACCTCAAGGACTTAAAAAAAAAGAAAAAGTAAAATATATTCAAAGCAAGCAGAAGAAAGGAAATATAAAGATAAGGGCAAAAATCAGTGAAATTTAAAACAATGGAGAAAATCAAAAGAATTGGTTCTTTGAAAATACCAATGAAATTGACTAACTTCTAACAAGACTAACAAAGAAAAAGAGGGAGAAGATGCAAATTACCAATATTGGGAATAAAATAGGAGATATCACTATAGACCCTGTAGACATCAAAAGGATAATAAGGGAATTCTACACACACAAATGTGATAACTTTGATGAAATAGACCAATTGCTACACACACACACACACACACACACACACACACACACAACACACACTCTACCACAACTCACCCAAAACGAAATAAGCTATGTGAGTAGCCATAAACCTATAAGGAAATTCAATTCATAATTTTAAAACTCAAAAGAAAGAAATCTCATGGGGTGCCTGGGTGGTTCATTTGGATGGGTGTCTAACTCTTGGTTTTGGCCCAGTTTATAGGTTCGAAGTCTGCATGGGGTTCTATCTCTCTCTCTCTCTTTCTGCACCTTCACCATTCTCTCTCTCCCTCTAATAAATAAATAAACTTAAAAGAAAGAAAGAAAGAAATCTCCAGGCCCAGATGGTTTCACTAGACAACTCTACTTAATGTTTAAAGAATTAATGCCAATTCTACACAATCTCTTCAGAATATAAAAGAGGAAGAAATACTTCCTAAAAACAGACAAAGGCAGAAAGCCAGAAAACTACAGACCAATATTCCTCTTGATTATAGATACAAAATCCTTAAAAAATATATTATCAAATAGAATTCAACAACACATAAAAAGAATTATACACCATGACCAAATGGGGTTTATTCCAGGGATGGAAGGCTGTTTCAATATTCAAAAATTAATCAGTGTAATATTAACAAGCTATAGAAGAAAAATTACATGATCACATCGATTGATGCAGAAAAGACATTTGACAAATTTCATCTATCATGGTAAAAAATTTTTCTGAAAAATATGAATAGAAGGGAAATTTCTCAATTTGGTAAGAGCATCTACCAAAATCTTACAGCAACATTATACTTAATGGTGAAAGGCTGAATGCTTCCCCCACCCCAAGATCAGGAATAATACAAATATATTCACTCTCATCACTCTTATTCAATGTGGTGCTGAAAAGTGTTAGCCTGTGCAATAAGAAAAAAGAAAACAAAGCAAAAAGAAAAAATTTCTTAAAACTCATATTATTAAGTTCAGCAAAGTTGCAAGATATAACATAAACATACAAAAACCAATTTTATGTCTGTATATTATCAGTGGACATGTGGACACCAAAACTGAAAATATAGTACCATTTATCAATCACCCCCCAAATAATGAAAACTTAGATGTAAATCTACCAAAACATAAATAGGACTTCTATGCTTAAAACTATATATACAATGCTGATGAAAAACATTTTTAAAACCTAAATAGAGAGACATAGTGTGTTCATGGACTAGAAGATTTAATATAGATGAAATATAGATATGTAGACAAAGACAGATGAACATAAGTATATAGGGATAATATAGATAATTTAGATAAAGATAGATAAACATAAATGGAATATGGAACATGGATAAAGATGCACCATAGATGTCAATCTTCCCCAAGTTGATTTACATATACAATGCAGGTCCTATCAAAATCCCAGCAAGATTTTTTTTTGTAGATATAGGCAGTTATTCTATAACTTAAATGGAAAGGCAAGGAATTAGAATAGCTAAAAAAATATTTTGAAAAAGAAGAAAAAGAAGTGCCTGGGCGGTTCAGTCGGTTGAGCATCCAACTCTTGATTTTGGCTTGGGTCACTGGGATCAAGCCCTGTGTTGGGCTGCACGCTGAGTGTAGAGACCGTCTACTTGAGATTCTCTCTCTCTGCCCCCCTCCTCCACTTGCACCCTCTCTTTCTAAAAGAAAAAAGAAAAGAAGAAAAAAGTAGAAGGAATTAGTCCATAGTAATCAAGATTGTATGGTATCGGTGGAGTGACAGACCCATAGATCAATGGAACACAATGGAGAAACCAAAAATAGGTACACACAAATATGCCAAACTGATTTTTGACAATATGCAAAAGTAATTCAATGGAGAAAAGATAGCCTTTTCAGCAAATGGTGCTGGAGCAATTGTACATCCTTGACCAGAAAATGAACCTCAACCTAAATCTCACCCCTTATACAAAAATGAACTCAAATGTAAAATGTAAAACCATAAAACATTTAGAAAAAATAGGAGAAAATATTCAGAATCTAGAACTAGGCAGAGATCTTAGCCTTGACACCCAACGCATGATCCATAAAAGGTAAAACTAATTCATTGTACTACATCAAAATTTAAAACATTTGTTCTGTGGAAGACCTTGTTAAGATAACCAGACAAGGTACAGAGTGGGAGAGAAATATGTGAAAACCATATACCTGACCAAGGATGAGTATCTAGAATGTGTCAAGAACTTTCGAAATTCAAGGGTAGAAAAGCAAACAATTCAATGAGAACACAGACAAAACACACAAAGAGACATTTCACCAGAACAGATATACAGATAATAGGTAAGCACGTGAAAAGATGTTCTTCATTATTAGCCACTTATTTTTCAGAAGTCTGCAAGGTTCAGCTAATATAGACCAGGTGACTCTATTGATCTTGGCTGGCCTCACTATGCGTGTGGGGTTTAGCTGATCAAGGCTGGATTCCCCTGTGTCAGCTGGGACCCCATTCCATGTATCTCTCATCCTTATCAGCAAAATACGCATTGAAACCACAGTAAGTAATCATTACATACCTCCCAGTATGGCAAACATAAAAAGTGGTGACAATAAATACCAAATCCTGAACAAAGATGCAGAGAAAATGGATTACTAATACATTGCTGGTGGTAACATAAAATGGTTTCTTTTTAATTGAGCCTTGGGCAATTGAGCACTGGGCATTTATTTCAGAGACATGAAGACTTACATTTACACAAAAATAGTACACCGATGTTTGTAGCAGCTTTATTCATAATAGCTTCAAACTAGGAACAATCCAGATGTCCGTCAACAGATGAATGGTTAAAAAAATGTAGTACATCCACACCTTGGATCACTCTACTCAGCAATAGAAGGTAATAAACTATTGACAGATGTGATAACATAGGTAAATCTCCAGTGAATATTCAGAGTGAGGGAATAAAAAGCCAATTCCAAATGGTTACATCCTATATGATTTCGTTCATATAACATTCTCGACATTGACAAAATGATAGAAACAGAGGTAGATTAGTGTTTCCAGGGGTTACGGAGAGGGTAGTAGCAAGAGGGAAGGGGATGTGGCTATAAATGGCAACATGAGGGATCCTTATGGTGATGAAAGTATTTTGTATCTTGACTCTACCAATGTCAATATCCTGGTAATGATACTGTACTGTAGTTTTGCATGATGTTACCATTGAGGAAAACTGGACGGAGGGTGCATGGGATCTTCTTTTTTTTTTTTTTATGGGATCTTTACTATTTCTTACGAGTGCGTGTAAATCTACATTTATCTCAAAATGAAAAGTTTAATTTTTTAAGTTAAAAGAAAAATTTATTTTTTCAGACGTCTGCAAGGTTCAGCTAATATACACCAGGTGGCTCTGTTGATCTTGGCTGGCCTTATTCATGTGTGGGGGCTGATCTTGGCTGATCAAGGTGGGGTTCCTCTGTGTCAGCTGGGACTCCATTCCACGTATCTGTCATCCTCACCAGGCGAGCCTGGACATGTTGTCATGGCTACTGCACAGTGCACAAGAAAGCAAACTCTAATGGACAAAAGTCCCTCAAGCCTGGGCTTCAGTCTTGACTTTTACATTGTAAGGGCTGAAGCAAGTTACACAATGTAGCCCAGAATCAGGGCAGATCATCCTAGTCGTGAAGGGAGGGCACCACAAAGACATAGGGACACGGGTATAGGGAGCCACGAACAGCTGCGGCCATGAAGGGCTCCCCCACATCATCTGGGATCACCTCGGGGACTGAAACTACCTATTTCTTCCTTCTCATCGGCAGACTGTGACTATTCTCTGTTGTTTCCAGGACTTCACAACAGGGTCTGAGGGTCTCTTTGATAATGAACGTGTCATAGCGGAAGAGAATACATGTTGTCTATAACCATCCTACACTGAGCCAATCTGCCTGGGCATGTCCACAGCCACTGGCCTCCACCTTCCCTGGCCCTGACTCAATCTTTACTTCGTCTGCCGCCCCATCTGATTCTCTTCCCACTCCTTCCGTCCTCTGGAATCCCTGTGGCTTTCCTAGCACTCACCAGACTTGACTTTATCAGAATCCCTGTCCAAAGTCACTGAGATCAGTTCTTTTGGCCTCCACTCCCTCATCTGCAAAAGTGGATTAATAGCACCAACACCACTCTCCATCGGTGTTGACGTGAGGATGAAACAATTTAGCTCACATAATGAGTTTACCCTGCCTGGTGCATGGTAATCCCTCACTAAGTTGTAGTGGCTTTATTGTCTTTTAATGTGGGAGCAAACTGTCGGCAGTTAAAGGAATCCCAGCATTCCTTGTTAGAACTCTGAAAATACTTCCCCATAGAAACACTGTTCTACTCCGTGATTGGATTCTGTACAACTATTATCACCCCTAATCATTCTATGGCCCCGGTGGTTCAGCCTAAGCCTGCAGGTTAGATGGGTTCTCTGGGACTGGCCTGGCAAAACTAATCACCATGAAGAACATTACGGCAAGGAAAAAAGGTAAGTTATAAACAAGTCCCTTACCCATGAACTTTTGAGGGGTGCCTGGGTGGCTCAGTCGGTTGAGCATCTGACTCTTGATTTCAGCTCAAGTCATGATCTCAGGGTCAACAGATAAAGCCCCACATCCAGCTACGAGCTGAGCATGGAGCCTGCTTAGGATTCTCTCTCTCTCTCTCTCTCTCTCTCTCTCTCTTTCTCTCCCTCTGCCCCTCCCTCATTCACATTCCCTAAATAAATAGATAAGTAAAATTTTAAAAATAAAAAAAAACAAATAAACTTTGGAAATAGAACCCACTCTTAAGTTTGATATTACCTAGAAGTGAATGTTATGAAGGCAGAGACTTTGGAGATCGCAAATGTACCAGCCTGACGAATGGTAGCTATTCTGCTGACCTGAACTCTTTGAGCAAGAACCTTATGAATGAGGCCAGATGGCAGAGAGACTCAGGGCCAAGGGTAGGAAGCAGAACTGTGTTGTAAAGAAAACTAGGTAGGCCTTGGGGGAGACGGGTCAATGGGAGACCATGGTCAATTCTTGGGTATGCCATGGCTGGGGAGAAGTCTTAGACAGGAGCCTGAGAGCGATACGAGAGGGGTACCTACTTGATGCAGAGAAGTACATGAAAACAGAAAGGTTGTGGCCAGTAGCTTGTAGAAGTCTGCCTGGGACCCAAACAGGAAAGGAATAGCTAGACCGGAATTTGAAAGTGAAACAGAACGGCCAGAAGAAATAGAAAAACTATAGCTCCAAGCTTAAGAGCCTAGAAGAGATAGATTCAGGGCCTTTATGTGGAAGTGCTCAAAAAGGTTTGAGTATCACTATAACCCAGAAGCTAAGCTCAGAGGTTTCAGCACACAACTGTGAGACACTTGGGACTTTTCACTGCAGTAAAGTTCAGCATGAAGCTGACGTTCTAGGTGCACAGGATGGCGATGAGCAGAACAAGAAACGGTGAGAGGGGGGAATATTGCAAGAAACACAGGCAGTGGGGAGAGGGGCCGGCTTTTTATGGAGGTACCGTCTCTTCTGCACTCTGGACTGGTGAGAGCCAAGCCGAGACCCAGCTGTGCCCGGACTCAGGTCTGCTGGACTTGGTCTCAAACCTGTTAGTGCACCAGGCACCCCTCACATCTGCTGTGTCTGGAACTACACCTGGACCCTAACGTGGCACCAAGATCTTTCAGGATGTTGAAATGCCGCTGGCTAACAGGGAATCTCAGGAATGTATCCTATATTCCCGTCTTCCGCATCCCCAATCCTGATGACACCTTTCCTTGAACAACTTCACTGATAGAATCTCACTTCTCATGAGACACCCATCTTCTTATTAAACGACGGTCATGGGGTGCCTGGGTGGCTCAGTTGGCTAAGCGATCGACTCTTGATTTCAGCTCAGGTCATGATCTCCCATTTCATGAGATCGACGCCCCTATTGGGCTCTGTACTGACAATGTAGATCCTGCTTGGAATTCTCTCTCTCCCTCTCTCTCTACCTCTCCCCAGTGCATGCACACACTCTCTCTCTTTCAAAGTGAATAAACTTAAACTTAAAAAAAAATTAAAAATAAATAAACACTTATCACATGAAGAATTCCCCCCAACCAGATAGATCAGATCCACCCCCTGGAGGCTTCTAGTGCCTGGCCCTTTTTCTGTTCTCCTGAACTAAGAAGCTAAATCTAATCATTCCTCCCCAAGACACCCAGTTCCATTCTGCTAAGTCCTCTCTCTTCTAGGATAAATGGTCCACATTACACAACCTTAAAAACCAAGGCAATGAGCATTTCCTGATGGCCTTCATGTAAGCAGACCCCAGTGCACGTGCAAAGTTGAATAAATTGTCTCTTTGTTCTTTAGGCAAACAAGGTGAAGACAGAAGCGGGGATGGTGAACTCTAATACCAAGAAGACTGATAAGTACTGTAAAAAATGTTCAGAACTTGCTGTGGTGTAGCTATGGGGAAAGCATAGACCAGTTCACCTTGGGGATCTGAAAAGACTTCTAAGAAGAGGTGGGAGTTGAGCTGGGGCTTGAAAGCCTTTGACAAGCAGATGCAGGGAAGGAGGCAGGTGGGGAGTGAAACAAGCAGAGGACATGGGCTTGAGGACCTTGGTTCTCAGCTTCCTACTTGACCTTGAACATATTTAAAATGAAGGCCTTACACGCTCTTACACTGTTGGTGGGAATGTAAACTGGTGCAGCCCCTCTGGAAAACAGGGTGGAGGTTCCTCAAAAAATTAACAATAGAACTCCCCTATGACCCAGAAATAGCACTACTAGGAATTTACCTGAGGGATACAGGGGTGCTGATGCATAGGAGCACATGTACCCCAATGTTCATAGCAGCACTCTCAACAATAGCTAAATCATGGAAAGAGCCTAAGTGTCCATCAACGGACAAATGGATCAAGAAGATATGGTTTATCTATACGATGGAATACTACATGGCAATGAGAAAGAATGAAATCTGGCCATGTGTAGCAGTGTGAATGGAACTTGAGGGTGTTAGGCTGAGTGAAATAAGTCAGAGAAAGGCAGATACCATATGTTTTCACTCATATGTGGAACAAGAGAAACTTAACAGAGGACCATGGGGGAGGGGAAGGGGGAAAATAGTTGGGGAGAGGGAGGGAGGCAAACCATGAGAGACTCTTGAATACTGAGAACAAACTGAGGGCTGATAGGGATGGGGGGAGGGGAAGGGGGGTGATGGGCATGGAGGAGGGCACTTGTTGGGATGAGCACTGGGTGTTATATGGAAATCAATTTGACAATAAACTATAATAAAAATAAATAAACATTAAAAAATTAAAAATAATAAAAATAAAATAAAACAAAGGCCCTAAACTAAATGATCTCTAACGTCTAGTGCTAGAAACCCAGCAGGGTGTGAGTTTGAGCATTCCGATTGAGGCAAGAGTCCAAACCTGTGAAGCCCTGGCCTATCAAGGGAGTGGCGTATGTGTTTGGGACAGGCGGTGAGGGGACAAGGGGAAGATAATTTATTCACTATTCTGCCTGTCACACTGATACAGCACCCCCTCACCATTCTGACTGTGTCATTTTGGGACACTGACAATGTCCTTAGATGGTGTCCTTCTTAGAATAGCAGTTACTATGAGCCAGACACCTTTGGAAGCATTACGTATTTACTTCGATTCTGCACAACAGCCCTGTGAGATAAGTACACGTTTTATTATTCTCATTTTACAGATGAGTAAACAGAGGCACCGAGAGATTAAATAACTTGCCCGAGTTCATTGAGCAAAGATTTGAACTCAGATAGTCTGCTTTCTACTTTACTTCTTCAATAAAAAACACAAGGCCAGGGCTCCTGGGTGACTCAGTCCGACGAGCGGCCAACTCTTGATTTTGGCTCAGGTAAAGATCTCCCAGTTCATGGGATGGAGCCCCCGCATTGGGCTCTGTGTAGGCAACGTGGAGCCTGTTTAGGATTCTCCCTCTGCCTCTCTCTGCCCTGCCCCCACTCACGCTCTCTCTCTCTCTCTCTCTCTCTCAATAAATAAATAAACATTTTTTAAAAACACAAGGGCAGAACTGAGCACAGCTCTGTAGGCATGCTCTACCTCACTAGGGTGACAGTACCGCCACACTGTAGCTTCTTTTGCATTCCCATTAACCCAGCCTGAGGCAACATCAGACGCCATGCCACATCAATGATTCACACTGAGCTGGAAGTTACCTAAAGCCCCTAAAATGTGGGGCGCCTGGGTGGCTCTGTCGGTTAAGCGTCTGACTTCGGCTCAGGTCATGATGTCCCAGTTAGCGGGTCCAAGCCCCGCGTCCGGCTCTGTGCTGACAGCCAGCTCAGAGCCTGGAGCCTGTTTCAGATTCTGTCTCCCTCTCTCTCTGACCCTCCCCTGCTCACACTGTCTCTCTCTCTCAGAAAGAAATAAAACATTTTTTTCAAAAGCCCCTAAAATGCTTTTGACAATAACTGCTCTTAAACCAGGTCATTCCCATTCTGTTCCCATGCAGTTGATTAGTGAATCCCAAACACCAGGCTGTTCGTTAAGCCCTTTAGATGCTCGGCTGTAGCTCCTAGTTTCACCCTACAATAATTTTGAGACACGATATGTTATCCAATGTTCTCATTCCCAGCTTAGTAATAATACAACATGAGCAGCTAATGGTTAGTGGAGGACTCATTAACTAAATATGTTGCACATAGTATCTTCTCTAGCAGTTTCGTCGTTACCTGAAGTCTTTTGTGATTGTTGCTGCTACAATTATGCTCATTTAAGGGAGCAGAAAGTCAAGGCTAGTGAAGTTAAGAAACTTGCTCAACATCCAATCAGGAAGTGACAGACCCAAGGTTCATCCCCAGGATCGTCTGATTCGGGGGTCAGAACTGATTGATACACTTTCCTGCCTCTTTGCATCATCTAGAAACTTGCCATTATCTAAGTCAATCACAAAAAAAAAAGGTCAAACAGAATCAAGGACAGAACTCAGAGGTAAATTATATCATTCCAGGCATATAGGAACCAATTATTCATGTAGTCATACATTGATTGAGGCATTTTTTACATAATGTTGAAAGGCCAGAGAAGTTTAGTGATTTGCCCAAGCTCAGACACTTAGGGAAAAAAGGAGATGAAAAAGAAAACCATCACGGGCACATCGGTGGCTCAGGAGGTTGAGCGTCTGACTCTTGATTCTGGCTGAGGTCATGTTCTCGTGGTTCCTGGGTTAGAGCCCTATGTGGGACTCTGTGCTGACAGTGTGGAACCTCCTTGAGACTCTGTCTCCCTCTCTCTGCCCTTCCCCCCGCTCACTGTGTATCTCTCTCAAAAATAAATAAGTCAACTTTAATACAAAAAAAAAAAAAAAAAAGGAAAACAATCCAGAGCGGTCAGGCTGTTCATTCCCTCAGCACACATGTTGAGTATAAATGAGTATAAATATACCCCCAAAGTGTTGCAATTACAGTGTCACCTAGACTGCAATTCTCCAACTTGTTTGCACATGTCTCATGAACATCTTTGTCAAAAACCTTGCTGGAGCAAATGTGCACTTGATCAAAGACACCCCCTGACCCCTGGGAGATGGGATGAGTTTGCCCTGAAGGACTCTCAGGGAACACACGGAAGGAAGCCCCCATTCTAACAGTTCGTAAATCCTCCTTTTAGTAATGAGGTCTAGGGTGTTGCAGGGAATCACCAGAGGTGAGCTTTCAGGGGGCACGCCGGCTCCCGGAAAACTACACAAGTCATCTCCAGTCATCAGGTGCCACTCGACACTGGCCCCGCGTCTCCCCGCCCTGGTCGACACACCTCCACCATCTCCTCTTGACTGAAAGCTTCAATTTTTCTCAGACATTGCCAACTGAGATTCTTTTCCTTGGTAAGACAAGAGAGAAGTCCAACTGAACCAGAGTGGTTCAGTCTTCTTTCGGCTTTCTGTTGTTGTAAGTGAATCTTAAAAAAAAAAAAAAAAATCCTTTCTTTTATAAACTATTTGTAAAAAAAAAAAAAAAAATCCTTTCTTTTGTCGTTAATATTTTCAAGAACTTCAGCAGAGATGGATGCTCACTCCGGGCCCGTTCCCGTTCCCCTCTTTTGTATTTGCTGTCTGTCCTAGCCAAGGACAGAGACTCTCTTCTTGCCTGAACTTCAGCCAGGCTCCTCTGAGCCCACTGAGGGCCCCATCCTTGGGCATTCTCTCCCAGAGCCCAGCTTGAGCAGGAATGCTTTCAGGTGAGTTTAGCCACAATCTCCCTCCCTGGATAGCAGATCACCCTTGATCTCTCTGACCAGATTCTTCCTTGCCAGCCACCCCCCAGGGAATGTCTGGCCGCCCCGGCCTGCCTCCAGCAAGACGCCTTTCAGGTCAGATTAGTCAGATTCCCCCTTATTCCTGATTCTTCTTCTTGGCAATTTTCTATCCACTGGCCCCATCTACTTTGCCTTGTGGTTAAATTAAGAGCTAAGCCCCACGTCCCTCCCCGCTACTGCAAAACCTCACTGCAGCCCCTACACCTCATCCTGAATATCATCTACCTTATCATTTTAACAAGTTATAGAATAACTTTTTTAACACCTCTTTTGCACACCTTTTAAATGTGTTCATCTTTTGTTTTTAACATCAGTTTATTTTTAGAGAGAGAGAGAGAGAGACAGAGGATCCCCGAGCAGGCTCTGCCCTGTCAGCACAGAGCCTGATGCGGGGTTCAAACTTGATCTGTGAGATCATGACCTGAGCTGAAATTTTAGCTTAACTGACTGAGTCATGCAGGCTCCCCTATACATAGGGCACCTGTGTGGTTCAGTCAGTTAAGTATCCAACTTTGGCTCAGGTTGTGATCTCACGCTTCATGAGTTCGAGCCCTGTGTCAGGCTCTGTGCTAACGACTCGGAGCCTGGAGCTTTCAGAGTCTGTGTCTTTCTCTCACTCTCTGTCCCTCCCCCACTTGCACTCTGTCTCTCTTTCAAAAATAAACATTAAAAAAAATTTTTTTTTAAGTGAGAGCTCATGCAAGAACTTCCTTTTGACCTCAAAATCAAATGTCTTCCCTTCTACTTCTTAGCCAGTAAGAGGCAGAATCGGGATACAGCTCCAAACTGTCTGCCTCTACAGCCTGAGCCCTTATTATACTATATTATTTGTACATGAGTTATTAACTAATCCATTAAAAACAACCAATACCAGAACCTCAAGATCTCTATCCCAATGCCTCTCAAGCAATTAGACAATTAAAGAAGAATCTGAAGGGAACATGAGGTGCAGAGAATTAAGTGATTTAACCGTTAGGAGATAATTTTTTTCAAAGGTAAAATAAACAAAGCTGGGCCCTCGGTAAAGTGGTAAGGAGTTTTAAACAGCAATATACTATTGCTATAGGGAAAAGAGTTCATGTGAACTGAACTAAGCTTCGATTCGCCCAGGGATGAGT